TCGCAAGATGGCGGCCGCCGTAGTCCGAGGTCTGGGCTCCGCTTTGGCCAAAAATCTCCGTGAAATCCGAATCCACGTCTGCCAAACGTCCGCCGCCAGCAAGGGTACCAGGTGAGCGCCCAAATGTGCCCCCGGGGACATTAGAACGGAGACAGAAGAGTCAAAGGTCCGCTGTTATCGCCGACCTGCTAGCATTTAGCAGCGAGCCGCTGCAGCTCAAGGCTAACGTCAAAGTCGACGCAACCCTCACTAATTTGACCCGTTGAAGAGGACGAGAGCAAACGTTATTATCCCGCCCGAAAATGTGATGATTTTTTTTCCGAATATACTTCTACATGAAAGTCTTGAGAAAATCTCATTCTTTTGTACAGGTGCTTCAAATGCCTTGGACGATTGAAATCCGTTTGAGATTTACCAGTCAGCGTGTGTGTCTGTGTGCGTTGGAGCATGGACAATTGAGGGAATCGCTATACTGAAACCGGTCATGCCAAGTGCAAGCTTAAAACAGTCCCCAGAAGGGTCTGCGCTTCCACCACAGTTGCCCGGAGTCCGGCTAAAACTTGGACCTGTTGGTCTTTGAAAAGGTCAAGGGAGGGAATCGCCAATCGTTAAACAATAAGACTGATCAAACATGCTGCATAGAGGTGATAGATGTTTTTGATTGAAAATATAAAAATGAAACCGTGACGGAAGGGGGTACCCTCCATTTTGCCTTGATTTGATGACTTCAACTTGCTGGTGTCCCAGTGGCCCTTGTTCATCCCATCCTGCGAACTCGGGGCCCTCTGGCTCCTTATCGTAAGCCAACACTTTCAACCTTGGGTCTTAAACTGGACAGAGATTGGAAAATTGGACCGGGAGCTGGCTCAAGTCAAGCCTCTCCTTTCTCAAAAGCACTTGGAGATACAGTCCTTCATCATGCCTTCGTCACGTCGCGGCCGCATGACTGCAATGCACTTGACTTTGGTTTCAGACGATCCTCCAGTTAGTCCAGAAACGCCACCGCTCGCCTCTTGACTGGTACTCGTACTCCTACTCTGGCATCCGTCCACCGGCTCATTTTTTTAGTTCTTTTGAAGAGGCTCCGATTTATTTTTCCAATCTTGAAATGACCTGGCCCCACCTCGCCTCTCGGAGCTTCCCTGCCCGATGCCCCAGGTCTGCGGACATTATCAGAGGTATCGAGAACTAAGCGGAGGCTCAGAGGGGGTGGGGCCTTTTCCCTCGCCGCTCCCTCTCTTTGGAATGACCTCCCGCGGATGTTAGGCAAGCCCCCTCGCTGCCCAACTTGAAAACTCCCCTTAAAACTCATGTTTAGTCTTTGGCTTTTGACTCGGCATGAGACTTGGGTCTGACGGTTTTTGTGCTTTTTACTGTCGTCGTCGTTAAATTATTGTTTGTTGTCGTAGGAACGAATTTTGCTCCATGTCCAGCACTTTGGATACAGCGCTAGTTGTTTTCAAGTGCTCTCGAAATGCAGTTGAGTCGAGTCTTGGTGTTTGAGCGACATCCTCTTTGCTTTTCAGAGACTTTGTGGAGCAGCACTACGTGGACCTGAAGCGAGCCAACGCAGACTTCCCCATCCTGGTCCGAGAATGTTCCGGAGTGGAGGCCCGGCTGTGGGCCCGTTACGGTGAGTGGCAGCAAGGCATCATGGGAGACAAAATGTGTATGACAACACAGGTAGCTTTAAAGCAGCGCTCTCAAACTCTGGTCCTCGACGGCCTCTTTCTTGCAGTAATGTCCACCTCAACCCCCCCCCCCCCCCCCCCCC